TCCCTCATATCCTTCTTATTATATTAAGTTCTAAAACGACCGACACCGACCGACACCAAAAACAAATTTTTCGTTTTCTTTTTGAAGTTATTTACAGTTTTCCTTCAAAATTTGAAATCACATGCCATACATACATTTCTATTAAAAAAAAAATGCCAAATTTTTTTTTGCGCGATTTTTTGCAAAAAAAATTTTTTGCAATTTTTTGCAATTTTTTATTTTTTTACGATAATAAAACATAAAATACGTCACTATTTTAAATCTCAGCTAAAAAAAATTTTTTTCACAAAGTTATGGCGATATTCAATTTCCCTCATATCCTTCTTATTATATTAAGTTCTAAAACGACCGACACCAAAAACAAATTTTTCGTTTTCTTTTTGAAGTTATTTACAGTTTTCCTTCAAAATTTGAAATCACATGCCTTACATACATGTCTATTCAAAAAAAATGCCAAATTTTTTTTTGGCGCGATTTTTTGCAATTTTTTGCAATTTTTTATTTTTTTACGATAATAAAACATAAAATACGTCACTATTTTAAATCTCAGCTAAAAAAAATTTTTTTTCACAAAGTTATGGCGATATTCAATTTCCCTCATATCCTTCTTATTATATTAAGTTCTAAAACGACCGACACCAAAAACAAATTTTTCGTTTTCTTTTTGAAGTTATTTACAGCTTTCCTTCAAAATTTGAAATCACATGCCTTACATACATGTCTATTCAAAAAAAATGCCAAATTTTTTTTTGCGCAATTTTTTGCAAAAAAAAATTTTTGCCATTTTTTATTTTTTTACGATAATAACACATAAAATACGTCACTATTTTAAATCTCAGCTAAAAAAAAATTTTTTTCACAAAGTTATGGCGATATTCAATTTCCCTCATATCCTTCTTATTATATTAAGTTCTAAAACGACCGACACCGACCGACACCAAAAACAAATTTTTCGTTTTCTTTTTTTTTTTCGTTCTGTTTTCCACATGGTCCATGAATCATAAATTGCTTTACTAAATTAAATAAACGTGGATTAGTTCTTATTTTGTCATCTATATGTAAATATAGTAATAAGTAAATATGCGGTAATCCTCTCTTCTGAAATTCTATTACATATGTGTAAGCAATACAAGTACCAAATATTTCTTTCACAGTAATTTTATGAAGCTATTCTTTTACTTTCTGTTTAAATACTCTTGCAACTATATCTGGCCTATTTATTACATCTTCATTTTTTTAATATTATCAGTAATTTCTTTCCATTTAGGATTACATGTCATAGTTATAAACAAATCAGGTTTACCATATTTTTGAACTAAACAAATTGCATCACTAAAAGTTTGTTGTAATGCTCTAGATCTTCCAACAAAACTAGATGGCAATATAAACATTTTACGAATTTGAACAATTTTCTTCTCTTTTTTTCTCTTATGTAAATAATCCATTAATCCAGAGTATAATTCAGTTCTCAAGATATGTTGTTGTTTCTTTATAAAATATAATCTTGCACCTTCAATTTTTACAAAAGCATCGACAATAAATTGTTGGCTTAATTTACCTAAATTAAGAAATGGACTAAACTCATCTCTAACACTAATTTTAAATGAGTAACACTGTAAAGCTGTTATATTGTTTCTTTGATCTTTTGATAATAATTTCGGCATCCAACCACTACCTCCTGCAGGATGTATTAAAGGATATGTCATTGGATCTACATATCTACTTATTGCAGGGATGCTAATTGGTTTATCAAATTTAGAATATACACAAAAATCGCGTTTTATTGGAGGTTCATCATTTTCATCAACAAATACAACAGCAACTTCATTTGTAACAGGAGAGTTATATCGGTTTTTATCTAAATTAATATCTCTTTTCATAATCATTTTAATTTCTCGAGGTAGATTATTATTATTAGTAACAAATTCTTGTTCTTCTTTTTCTACTTCGTACATCATTTTGTACGCTTTAGCATAAGGGTTAATTTTTCTGATCAACTTATCTAAATTAGATAAAATATCATTTCTGCAGTTATTATTAATATCTTTACGACTTTGTGTAGCTAATTCATTGTCAATTATATACAGTTGACCATACTTTCTGAATTCATTTTCTTTGGGATGTAATGAATATGTGTTATGGTAAATTTGACCACACATTTTAAAGACTTGAGGACCTTTATTTTGTAGAGAAGCATATGTTGCACCAAATCTTGCAAACGCTATTGTATTGTTGTAGCTTCTTATACATTTTTTATAATGATTACTAATTGCAGTTTGACCACAAACTATTTCCTTTAATTCTACCGGGGGTAATGGATATTCAGTTAACAAAACTTTGCCTTTATGACAACATGTACTAAACTTTTTATCCTCTGGCATTTCTGAAAGAAAATGCTTAGCTGGACAAAATTAACAAATAACATCCAAATTACTATATTATTTGCTAACTTCAAACATTTTAAATTAATATTATTATTGGCTTCTAATTTTCTTTTTCTACAATTTTCTCGATATTCTTTACATTTTTCAATATTTTGTAATTTTATTTCTTCATTCTTAATTTTTTTTTCATTTTTCGATATCTTTTACATTTCTCCTTATTTTTTAATTGAATTTTTTAAATAACTTTTTCCTATATAAACATTTTAATTGATTTTTGTCAGAATATAATTGCTGGCATTATTTTTCACAAAAAATGAAAATTTTTAATTTTTTAAAACTAATAGTATAAGTTCTGTTAATCAAGATGAAGAAGCTAAATATTTTCATTAAATGAACCACTTTATTAATGTGTTGAAATCATGGAATTGTGTTATAAATTGTTATTTAAATAATCAGGAAGATTAAAAAAAATTTAATTTAATATAACCGTGGAATATTTCATCCATATCACTGGAATATTCCCTCAATATTGCTTGGATATATATATATTTTTTGGTTTTCTTAGAAAATCATTGGAATATTCCACGGTGATATTCAAGGGATGTTGAGGGGATACACCGTGCTGCTTGGGTTCCTTTATTATATAATATTAAAAAATGGAAAATGAAAAAATGTTAATAATTTCATGCATGACTGTAATTATGGCGTCGCAAATGACTTTGACACAAATAAGACTTCTTATGATTTAAGAATTTAATTATTATTTAACAATAATAATTTAAAATTTGATATATGTAGTATTATAATAAAACAAAATATATTTTTCCTTATGTGATTTTAATATTTCCTTGACTTTTTATATTTCCGTTAATTTTAATGAAAAGAATAGAATATGTTCTTTTAGCATAGAATATGTTTATCTTGCATATAATAATATTTCTTCAGCTTATAAATTAATTTTTTCAAAGTACTATTATTTACTATCTTAAAGTATTATAGCTTCTTAAAAATGTTTGAAAAAATTATTTTCGACATTACTTGATATAATTGTAGATAAAGAAACACATTTAAACTATTATAAATTTGATTTAAGAAAAAAAATTGCTTAGCGCCCTAATTAACCTTTACAGGACCTTTACTGACTAAATCGCGCCGCAATTAGCGCTTTTGATAATATTTTCTATTACATTAATTTGTTTGAATAATCGATTTTTATAAAGTATTCATCAATATAAATAATAAATTTACTTCTTTCATTATAATTTGTCGAATTTTCCGTTATGTATAATATTTATTAATAATAATTTCATTAATCAATTTGAATTTTTTTGAAGTGTAATTCTTTTTTGTTACAAAACATTGCGGTAAATGTAAAAAAATAATTCAGCTTATTTAAGTAAATTGAATAAAAAAAAAAATTAAACTTATAATATTTTGTCAACATTAAATACTTTTTAAGACCAGTATAAATATTTAGTAATTTTCAAATAAATAATATATTAATTATTATTTAATGAAATTAATTACATCTTTGATTTTTCAAAATTTGGCGCTATAATTTAAGATGGCAGTACTGCTACAGCTATTATATTAATACCGCCTTTTGGAATAATTTTCATCCTGCATTAAAAAGGATATTGATACCACATTTGAGTGCTAAAATAGACTCCAGCAGTATTATAATCGATCAGATTTCAAAAAGTACTCATTTTAAAACGTGAATATTTTTTACCGTGTATGTGTTTTCACGCTGACATTACAGGATAAGTTAAGCAAAATTGTAATTTTTCCATCGGCCTTCACACTTTAACCCCCTCAAATTTTAGGTTCAAGGGTACGGAACCGTTGGTTTTAATGCGAGTGTAACTCGCACTTGTCTGATTTTTTTAAATGGGGAAAACAGTGGGCATTCTACACTGCGCAATTTTGATTCTAAAACTAAAACTGAAAATTTTTTAGAAAGGTGACATCCTAAAGAATATGTTATACCTATAAAATAGTTAAAAAGTTAAACATATGACAAAATGTTGTCCACTTTTTTAAAACACTGCTTTTTTGCCTTATTTTTTCATGTTTGACCTTTTGTAAAAAATCTTTATTGTTAAATATTGTAGCATATTAAAGGTATAAAGCCAGCAGAATTTAGTAACCTTTAATAAGACGCAAACCCGAAGTTCATTGGTCAAATAGTTTAGACGCTACGATGCCCACCAGGTTGAAAAATCTTGTTTCAAGAAAAACGCGTTTAAAGTTTTTGGAACGTTTTGAACGTTTTTTTATGTGTAATTTTTATCTACTTTAAAAAAATCGATTCAATTTGCGTGAAATTCGTTACTCGAGAGTATTTGGGGTCGCTGATTACAAATGTGATATCAGATTTTCAAAATTCAAAACAGCGGATCCAATATGGCAGACGACTTATGATCTCAGCGGTTCTCAGGTTCGGAATGTCGATGAGTTCAAGGCGCTGTAGAATCGAATATATTTTTCGGATCAAAAAATCGCTTTACATACATATTACGCACACATATATAGCTTTCAAAAAATGCAAAAAAAAACGATTTTTTATACTCCCGCAATGGGAACTTACCCTTAACGGAATAAAGTAAGACAAAATTTATATAATTTATATTCATAATTGTGTTATTTAATTATTTTGTACTCTACATTATGGACTTTTCTGAGCTGTACATTCCAATTTGGTAACTTATTTATTGTCATTATTTACAATAGTTAATATTAAAAACATTTTGTAGAAAAAAATACCACACAGTACAGTTTTTTCCATAAACACATAGTTTTTATATTTCTATATATAAATTGTTAATAACTATTATCCCAGATTGATAGATGCTGAAGCACAAGAATCAGCAGGTGACCTAGAACTTTTTCTACTTTTTTTAACTGAAAAGTAAGGATTTGTTCCTTTATTAACATGTACATGAGCATAAAGTAAAACTCCTATATTATGGTGTCCAGCTTCAAGAGCAATTTTTAAAGCTGAACTGCCATCTGTATCCAGAATCGATGAATCGCAATTCGGTTGATTAAGAAGAAGTCTTACGATGTCTATATGACCATGTTCAGCTGCACACATTAAAGCTGTACTTCCATCATCATCTTGAATGTTTATTTCAGCGCCTGCATCAATGAGCAGCTTTATCATGTCCATTCGTCCATGTGAGACTGCTAACATTAAAGCAGTTTGTCCATCCTAAAACAATAAAGACGTTAATAAATTAAATATATCTGTACTTGTTTTAAAATCGGTAATTCTATTAAAAATCCATATGATAATTTGTAAAGGAAACTATCATGACAGTGAATAAGTTCGTGAGTAGTTTAGAATTCCTTATAACTGTTATAGAATTAAAGTTATCCTGTAAAAAAAAGAATAATACAATATGATTGTTTTAGATTAAAGGATAACTCATAATGAATTCAGCTTGTAAATAAAACTGTATTGAGACTTCTTCCCAAATTATTTCTGCTCGTGAGAAATTCTTTTCTCTTTGAAGCATTCAAATTGAGATTTTATAAGCAGAGTATACACAATATAAATTAAAAGCGTAAGTGCCCAAAATTGTAAAACTAGCAATTATAAAAGAGAAATGTGAAATATTGTTGAAATGTGACAGGTATTACTGGATTTATTGAATCTGATGGTAATTTTTTACCATATGAGTTAGTTACTCAAGGTAAAATTAACATATGAGTCTGTTAGTGCTTAAACCGAATAATGCTTGTCAAATACAAATTAACGAGGAACATTCTCGGTATAAAAGAATCTTAACATTTATTAGAATTTTCAAAAATAAAATTCAATTTAAAATTCTATAATAAATTTAAAAAGAAATAAGGGTAAGTCCACGTCAGAAATATCAGAATCTGCAAGTGGTTCTTCGATTTTAATGATACTTGGTAAAATTATAGCTTTATATAAGAGCAATGTATGGGTAAAAGGAATTTTTAAAATATCTAAAATTGTAGGAGTTATATCACTTTTAATTTTGATAGTGCATTTTTTTCTTTCCTTTATATCTTGGTCAATTTTCAACCGATTTTGATGAATCAAAAACGATTTTTTTCAGAAAATTACGTATTTTCAGAAAATTTTAAAATAAAAATAAAATTTTGTTATTTAAATAGAAAAAAGTAAAAAACAAAATTTCTTTTAGATTTTTTTTCAATTTCGACCTCATTTTTTTAATTTTTAATTTTTTAATAATATTCCTTTTTATTTTATCTTTAATTTAAAAAAAAATTCATCCTGGAGACTTTTTTAGATCTCGTGATATCGTTCTTTAAGTATTATAAGTCTTCATCAACTTGAAAACCGCAGGACTTGCTCCTATCATTACTTTCATTTGTTTCTTGAAATTTTTTATAGTTATGAATAATTATTTGTTTTAGAATCCTCTAAAGAAAGCGCTAAAAACTTCAGCTACAATTTCAGGTTGCATTGTTAAGGTTTCATTACAATTTATTTTAAATTATAAATATTACAAAAAATAAAAACTTTGCTTCAAATCTATTAATAAAATATTGATTTGCTTGAATTTTCACTTGTTTTAGTCAAGTAATTTAAAAATAAAAACATTATTACGCGAAAGTTTCTAGTTTGTAACAATAATATTATAAAACAAATGAAAGTAGAAACACAAATCTGAAAATCATTTTCTTGAGATGTGGATATTTAAAGAACGATATCACGAGATCTAAAAAAGTCTCCAGGATGAATTTTTTTTTAAATTAAAGATAAAATAAAAAGGAATATTATTAAAAAATTAAAAATTAAAAAAAAGAGGTAGAAATTGAAAAAAAATCTAAAAGAAATTTTGTTTTTTACTTTTTTCTATTTAAATAACAAAATTTTATTTTTGTTTTAAAATTTTCTGAAAATACGTAATTTTTTGAAAAAAGTCGTTTTTGATTCATCAAAATCGGTTCAAAATTGACCGAGATATAAAGGAAAGAAAAAAATGCAGTATCAAAATTAAAAGTGATATAACTCCTACAATTTTAGATATTTTAAAAATTCCTTTTACTCACACATTGCTCTTATGTAAAGCTATAATTTTACCAAGTATCATTAAAATCGAAGAACCACTTGCAGATTCTGATATTTCTGACGTGGACTTACCCATAAGAAAAATTTACTACAACGAATTCTATTCATTAATGGGTACGTTGACATACAAACGTGCCCATTGTAGAACTGACTTAAAACTAAGATTTCCCAGTGTATAAAAAAATCAAAAAAGTACCATATACTTTACATAATTTACCATATGAGTAGTACTCATATGGTAAATACCATCCTCACTAAATCTCTTATGTTCATTACTTTTTATTAAAGTTTTTTACAACAAAATATAATGTAACGCAACGTAAAAGATACAAATGTAAACAAAATTACATCATTTTTCATAACACAAATTCAAACTATTGTAATCGAATACTGCGCGCAATAATTTGTTCGAATACTCCGGATGACTTTTTAGAAGTTTTTATGCGCAGTTTGTAATTACAATAGTTTGAATTTGTGATATGAAATATAATGTAATTTTGTTTACATTTGTATCTTTTACGTTGCGTTACATTATATTTTGTTGCAAAAAAACTTTAATAAAAAATAATGAACATTACGAGATTTAGTTCAGAATACACATAGTTTATATATATTTTAGAAAAAATTTAATGTTTGTGTTAATAATTCATTTTCTTGACTAAAATGGTCATGAAAGTCGAAAGATGATAAAACTTGCAAATTTCAAGATTTATATTCCAAATTTCCAGAAAAATGTAATTTTAATACCGCAAACAAGCTTTTTTTGAAAGCATTTACTCCTTACTTTTAACATTTACTCCTTGCAAAATATACTGGAAACAGTAATTTTAAAATGCATTACTAGGGTGATAATATTATTTCTCAAAAGAAGCTATAGATCAAAGTTTGAAAATGAAACAAAAAAACTTATTTTCGCTGCCACAAAATAGCCAAGTTGATTTTTTTGATTTAGCGTTTATTTTCATTCTAATACCACCTAGAAACATAATCCACTGGAAAATTTGAGTTATCTAAAAATTTTATTTAAATTCACTTCAGAGCACCGTGGCTTATTTTCATATCGCGAAGATAAAATTTCCCAAGCTTTGAAAAATTAGCGTCAGTTATTGTAATATGTTTAACTATAATGCAGAAGTTCTCCACTTAATACGGTCTTTAAATACTGAAAGCGCGTTACATTTGATAAACTTTCATTTTTGATGATCAATGTGCTAAATAAATCTCGAAAATTTTCCCAGTATGAATAATTCCCTGAAAATTCTGGTAATGTTATTTGCAGTAATTTTACTCTAACAGATTCCTAATTTTTAAATGACGTTTGCAAAGTAGATGAACCCGGACAAAGACAGTGATGCCAGGCTGCACAGCAATTCCACTCCCACCATGCCGCCCGTGCGCCTCCCTCCATACCACAACACACACAAGTATAAACCGTGCGCTTACTCTTGTAGGTGTGCCTAATTTTCGTTTTCCTCATATTCGCCAGCTTCAGCTGAGCGACTATGTCTGTTTTTACCGACAGCGAACTTTTGAATTCTTTATAATATAAATATACTTTTATTAATGTTTTTATAGATATTTATTAATAAATAATTAATAAATATACTATATTATAAATATAATATATTACCTATACATAATGTAATACATAAATAGTACTGAAAAATAAAATTAAGGGTGATAATAATTAATATTAAATTAATTATACCTAATTATAAACACTATAAGTAAAAAAAAATATTATTTAAAATCATAAGATGATAATAATGTAGTAAATAGTCGATTGTTATTATTATTAGTAACTGAAAAATTTTTAACTTTTTTTATAAAAGTAATAATAAAAACTTATTTTTTAACATTTAAACATATAATTAAATTACACTAAAAAAACAAATTTATTGTTTCAAATAATTGATTACTTGTTTATAATAACGAAAGTGTTTATTTGTATTGAATAATAAATATTATTTTAGCGAATTAAATTGTATTTCTTTCAAATACGGAAATTATTGGCTCAAATACAATTTATTTTATTCTAACAATAAATATTTTGTTTAAATAAATAAGTACATATTTAATGATAGACAAGTAAGTGATTATTTGAAAAAAATAAATTTTTTTAGTGTATATATTATTAAACCCGTTTCCTCACTACCCTTGAGGTAGAGTTTGTGGCGCGTTTTTTTTCTCTTTGAGGACTAATTGTAGTAAGGAAACGGGTTTAATAATATATACACTAAAAAGTGTATGATGCAAAAACTTCTCAATATTTGTTTTGAATTTTTTGTTCAGCCACCAGAACCTCTCTTGGATAAAAGCAAGTTGATTTCATCCTCACTAGTAGGTTTATCATCTACTAGGATATAATTTCTCCTCAAAGAAGCTTTAATGACCAAAGCGCGAAGTTGACTTATCAAGTCCAACCATTTTTTATGTTTAATTCTTTCCTCTTTGGAAAGATCGTTGGCAATTCTAAAATTTCGCTCGTTGATTTCCTTGACTTTTGAGAAAAGCAATCTGACCGATCTGGTCCCAACAAATTTAATCAAAACTGGACGACTACCGAGAGATTTGCCCAAACGAAAGGCGTCCACAATTGCAGAGTCCGGAATTTGCACGTTGACGTCAGCAAAAAATTTGTTTAGTGCGCGAAATAAATTTTTGTTAGTTTCCACCGAATCTACCAAGTTAAATAGGATAATGTTTTTGGCACGATTTGATTCTGTAATAGAAAGCAATTTTTCCTCGTTATTCGAAATTCTATTTCCCAAAGATTCCAATTGCGTAGCCGAGGAAAGGCCTTGTTGTTTCAAATCTGACTCAGGCTCCTCCCCCTCCTGGCAGAATTCGTCCCCGTGGCTGAACAAAAAATTCAAAACAAATATTGAGAAGTTTTTGCATCATAACTCTCCCACTCTAGCAGGCGATTCAAAAAATTTAAATCGTTCCGTTTCCTCCAGGAAATTGGTTCTCTCAGATAATTAATAGCAACGAATGGATTTTCTTCCGGTGAATATCTCTGCACCGCTTCTTCCTTCAGCACATTTTCATTCTCCTGGTGGTAGACTAATTTTTTGAATATTCACGGCATTAGAAATTTACCTGATTTCGTAAATAGTGTAAGAGATAATGACATTTTTTGT